AAATCGCGATCACCAAAAAAGTTACGGAGGACACAACAAGGCGCAACTTTCAACTGAATTTTATTGAAAACGTGTTCCGGTATATAGTCTCAACCATCGTCACAATGACAACAAACGACAAAAGTAAAGGGAAAACACCATCACAGAGCACAACTCGGAAACAACAGTATCCCGTTCTCGGGAAACGAATGAAAGATATAAAGCAAAGTATATAAAAAAAAATGCGATCACCAAAAAAGTTACAGTTATGGAACGATACAGTTTTCTGAAGCCAAGATTCTACTCGCGAGATAAGGAAAATTCACTGAAGATTGTCTCAAAACTCAGAAAACGAAAGAAATTGAATTTTCGCTGTTTTATTACTTAAAAGCGCCGCAATCTAATGCAAACGGCAGAGGTGTCGACAATCAGCTGATCGCCGAGATCATGTACTGCCACTATTCAACGCGCTGATCAGATTGAAGGATACGCGCTGCAAGTGTAAATAAACAAGGTGGTAAATAACAATACGTTACAACTATGCGAAAATTAGTAAGTACATACGAATAAGCTCGTTGACAGAAGAACCAACGGGAATACAGACGTGAGCCCCACAGCTCCGTACGTTTCTCGGTTAGGGCTAACACGCCCTGAAAGTGGAGAGCCAACTTGAAAACAGGGGTCGATAAACACTTCACGCGACAATATCTTGCATCCTTGTCACAATCGAAAGTCATTTTGTCGAGACTTTCACGCTGATGTAGCCTAAAACACTTTGCACAACTAATTTCGTCCACCGCGTCGACCGTGACAAACCAGCCGCCATGTTTTTAATCCAGGATTAAGAAACAATCAGAAGCAAAGCGCCCAATGTTGGGCGCTTAAGTTAAGCGTAGTTTAGTGCTAGGTTTAGCGATAAGCGAGTTTGGTGCAACCGAACGAAACCGAAACTAAGCTTAAGTTCCCGGCTAAGCTCCGCTTTGCGCTAAGCGACGTTGGTGCAACCGGCCCTTAGTCACGTATTCGGTGTATCTTGTTACATGTTTTTTTGAGCACACTACAAACTTTCGTTTTGTCACCGCGGAGCATACCCAGACAACACCCGACATCCTCAGGACGTCCTCTAAAGGTACAAACGTCCTCACTGTTTTCAAGACGTCCTCAGGACATCCTGAGAACGTCAGTCGCTGGATCATCCTAAAAACGTCCTTCCGAGGACTTATTGAGGACGAAGGATACAAAGTTAGAGGCAATATATACGTCCTCAATTTGATTGCGTTTTTAAAAAAATAAATGAATGAAATGGCGGTAGTATACACAGTTCGCAGTCACTGCTCAACTAAATTTCACATAGAAATTATTACATGTAGTTGCGTAAGTTTAGGACATCTTTTAACTATAGTTTTGATCAAACAATTCTTTAATAAAACCAAGACGCACTACAATATTATTAGTTTTGTATTTGCGCAGTATTTCGAAATTCTGTTCCATTGGCAACATCCAATCTAGGTGGCGCAAGCTATTGCCTACTACAAGGCAATTATCCACCCATCTGAGAGACTCAAGCAAGCTAAGCCAAGCCTGGACAGAAACAGGAATAGCGTCGAAGTTGATGATGGCTTGATAATGTGGATGCTTGGGCTAGTGGGTAATTCATGCTTGGATAGAACAGCGCGGATACAGTCACACTCACAGACACACAAGAAGGAAACAGACTCGCTGCGCTGATTAACAACTCGGTGATATATTTCTTCCTCATATCGTCATCTTCTGCTCCTTCGCCGTTAATGAGAACATTTTAAATTTTTAAACACCAGAAACCAAATAGCCAATAAACATTAATAAATAAATCATCAATATATAAATAAGTCACAACTAAAAGAAATAAAACTTCAAGAAATAAATAAAGAATTTTTAAGTTTAATTTTTAATTGTAATTTATTTCCTAAAAAAATAGTTTTTAACTTTATTTTGTTTTTGTTTTTAACTTTCTTAGTTTTATTTATTTTTAGCTGTTATTTATTTATTTATTATTTACTTATTAATGTTTATTGGCTATTTGGTTTCTTATGTTTAAAAATTTAAAATGTTCTCATTAACGGCGAAAGAGAAGATGATGACGATTTGAGGAAGAAGAAATATATCACTAAGTTGTTAGTCAGCGCTGCGAGTCTGTGTATCCGCGCTGTTCCATCCAAATTGATTATGGCAGCAATGCAAGGCAGTGACAAAGGTTAGTGTGTTTTTAAATGTAGTACTTCCTCGAAATGGCGGAAAGCAATGAACGGCAATTTCGGCGGGAAAGATACCGGCGCGTAAACGAATGGTTCGAGCTTTTCAACTGCGCGAAAGTAGACTCGGTAGCAAGGGTATCTTCCTCGCACGAACATTAAATGTGATTTTTTTCTAGACCATCTTAGCTTTCTGCTGTGACTGTCATCACAAATCAATGTTTTAGGAGCAGTGAAATCAAATGTTGAGTGCGCAAACAAAGCTGACGTGGAGACCATCATCAAAGTATGGCTGCACCACGCTGGAGAGAAACTGAAAAAGCTGCAGTCAAAGGCCGGAGTTGTTCGAAATGATGGTAAGTTTCTCACATTATCTGTTTTTATTATTAATGCTTATGAAATTGATTTCTTTTTTTGTAGATCCCGCTGGCTATTCGGACTAGTGCTGGCCAAGATGCGAAGCCAGGCAGCACGTCTGGTGCAGACATTGAAAAAAGTCATGAATAACATTTGCTCTCCAATAAAGTATTTCTTGAACAGTTACCTTTGTTTGCAATAATGAATGGCACGATCATGCTCATAGTTACAGGCTAAGAACATAGCGCAAGGAAGTACGCAGAGGAGAAAGCCGACAGGATGCTGGAGGGGAGAAGTTTTCTTCTCTCCTCTTCAGCATTCCGCCAGCTTTCTTCCTCCTTTCCCTTGCCCTATGTTCTTAGCCTCTCACTGACTAGTAATCTAGAGTTAGTGTGTAAATTTCACTTTAGAATAGTGCACCACAATGCATTTTTTTTCTGCAGGCAGCTCTTGCAGGCATCTTCAGGTTCAAAATCCAGTTGGAGAAAACCTAGAAACAATAAAAATGAAAGCATCCTAATAGCTCAGTGAACAGCTGCACCTGCAGTGCATTGTCCTAAAAATGTATTAGAAAAATCCTTGGCTGCCCTCCTGAGAACGTTCTGAGAATGTCCTGAGGCCGGACAATAGGATGTTTTTAGGATGTTTCCAGGATCATTTGAGGACATCCTCAGGACATCATAATGCCCTTAAAAGGTTGTCCTGAGGACATCCTGGTGATGTCCGAGTGTTGTCTGGGTATCTTTGAAAGTTTGCACGGGGCTGAGAAGACTACGTTAACTCTGTGTCTAATAGCAATCTTTTTTAAATTGTGGGACACTTCGGGTGCATATGGTATCACTTGCACTGGCATCTTGTCTGTCTTTTCACGACATTTGTCAAGGCCCTCTCGTTCAATTTCCTGTAGTAGCCTTTCACACCCACTTGTCACTGCTCTTCGGGTAACCGGCCCTCGTCAAGCGTGCAAACTGGTGATCAAAGCTGACCGGCAGTCTATGCTGGCAGCTTTTTGTAATGGCTGCGTGAAGGCAGGTGGATGCAATCCCCCGTTTTACAAGCTTTGAGTGGGCACTTCTGAAAGAAAGGAGGCCTTTCTTAGTTTGTGGATTTTATAACTGCAGCACAAATGATCCTTAGTAAAAAAGAGCTGTAAATTTTGAAACTGAATACTGCCATCATTAGGTATTTCCCAAGTGAAGTTCAGTCCGCCGGACAGGAAAACAAAAATAAAAATATTTATTTCTTGTTTTAGATTAAAGAAACGCTAATCAGAACGCTTCACGCGAATTCAAGCAGAAGCGACATAACGAAAGTCTTATCGGCACCGACATCACAATGGCCGTTTTCGCTGAGCTTTGGCCAACGTTATTAGATTAGCCCAGTTATAGAAGCGTTCAAAGACGCTGCTTTCACGAGTACCCCACTTCACTCACCATGACTCGGCTCGCGTCGTTCGACGCGCCACACGGCTGCTATGGTAACCGCAGTGTATTCTATGGAATACGTACGTTTCGGGGCCGATTGGTCTAGCGCACACCAGCTCAAGGCACGTGGAGCGAAAGCTCGCGCTGCAGAACCCAGGATCCCCTGCCCTAGTGCCACTACACTGCCCGTTTCGATCTGGATGAGCATCATACCGGCGTGCGGTCGTGTATCACTACTGCGTGGTGCACGTTAAAGACCCCAGGCTAAGGGTTGTACTGCACTGGTTAAATTGCTCATCTACAGCTGGGAGACTCGTCGCCCGTTGAGGCAGACCAAGTTCTAGGTAGGGTGCCTTCATGTGCGCTTTGCTTAGGGTGGAGACATCTGGCCATTTTGTCCCACACTTTTCTTTTTCTTTTTTGTTCAGTTGCCCTTCTCTGGGCAACGTGTCCACAACAAGGAGGAACAGTCTCTGTTGCTACCTTTCTCCTCCTTTTTTTCTTAGAGTGCACTCAGCCACACTCGAACGCATATGTGTGAACCAGTCCTTAGATGCCGCCTTGTTATGTAAACAGTAACTGCAACCCGAATGGAAAACATAGAAATTAATACTCTGTCGCTTCTGACTCTTAGCTGACAGTGAATCATATGTGGATGTTTCTTGAGATCTCCGAAACCTCGGCATGAGGCATGAAGCATCATAAATAATCTTTAGCCTCCCGCGGAAAACTTTTTCGCGCCGACGCCGGTGGTTTGAAGCGCGTTCCAGAGAGCGCCTGACCGTCGCTGCGAAACATAGTGGCTTTTTTTATTTTTTTTTTTTTCATGCTATTGATCGCTTTGTTGAAAATGGAGGAACAAACCATAGTGGAAGAAACCGAGGCGGTTCGGAAACGTTGAGGCGCTTTTATTTAGAATTAAGTTAAAGTTCCTTTTTTTTTAATGTCGGTTTTGGCTTAGCTTGACAAAGTTGGGTTGGAAAATTACCTTTCTTTTTACGTTTTGCAGTGACCTTCGCGACTCCACTGGCCTCCATGCAACGCGGGTCGGCCAGCACCCGCGTGGCTGCGCATTTCCCGGGCACATGGGTTCGAGGGCAGTTCCACAACGTGCACGGTCCCAACGCCATCGTAGAATGGGATGACCAGTGGATGCGGTCAGTATACTTCACAATGCACGACACCTCGCTTTATTTCATCTTTCACGCGCGTTGTAGCAGACTTGGGCACGCTTGCGGGCGAGTTAGTCTGTGTTGAACAGAGGTGAGTAGATGTAAGTGCTTCTCTCCAGGCTTATCGGGGCATTCCAGTGGGCCATTCATTGTCGAAGCTATAACTCGAGAAAAGCACTCTGAAGAGGACCAATAATTAAAACCTTTTGAACTGCTTCTTTTTTTATTTTCATGTAGTGGCAAGTGTGTCAACACACGAGACGCGTGGTCTTTGCAGATCCTTGAATGACATAAGGACATCGTACTGGAACACTCTAATGAGCTAATTTAGACATTTTGTTCTTCAGAATGGTCCTCGTGTAATGTTTCTCGCCTTCGCACAACCGTGAATTTTACTGCTTGTAATAAACGGAATTTTACCTTTAAAATCTATCGCACCAGCACTAGATTAGCGAGCAGCGGAAGACGCAGACAACGGGTAGTGCGATGTATACTAGACGAGGTTACAGTTAACTAGAGTATAGGGGCAGTGGAAAAAGCGTCGGCGGCACCCCGTCGGCCATATGTGCAGCTAGAAGTGTAAAGTGCTGCGAGTGGCGCTGTTGTCGAAATCCGGAGGACATGGCTACTGTAACATGGGATATGGCGTCGCGTATGTTCTCAGATGGTTCTGTAATTTCTATGGTCGTTTTGGCATTTTGTTTCGTGAGTGTCAAGTGCTTGGCATTCTGTTTGCATAGGTTCGAGTCTTGACGCTAAGCAATGCAAACGAAGAGAAAGTAGACGGATGCGCACCGCTACACGCCAGCATGCAAGACTGGTTACCCCGGTTTTCACTGCATTGCCCAAGTAAGCTTTAAGCAATTATTCATAGACGTTGAAACACCCATAAAGCATACATATGCAGCACTAATGAACCGCTAAGATCAAAAACAGCTACGGTTGGCGCGAACTTCGATGGCAGGAGTGCTCCGGAATCGAACACCAGCGCTACCTGGTCGGTTCTACACATAGCGCCTCACCTGGCGGCCGGCTATTTTCCCGCTGCTCCTACTCTAGTTCACTGTAACAAGGTAAGTATTTCAACCAGGTAATTTGTACGGCAATATTTCCTTCAGTGTTTGTTCCACATATCCAAAAGGCCGAGTTTTTTGTATTTGGTCTACTTGTGCGAACTGTCGAATTTCGTGTAAAGAAGAAAAATAAAACAAAAAACAGACTGAAGTCGGGCTCCACAAAGTATGCCAGGCTTAAAAACAACAATTGCAGGCTTGATCGCAGCATTTTAATGTGACATCGGACATCAATGAATGGACGGATTAATGTGGGATTACGATTGTCTTCAGCTCAGTCGGTGTCCCTGAATTACAGGGTATGCATTTTTTTCTAGATGTTGCGTGTACTTTTAATAAACATCACGGCTCAGTTTGGTTTTGGGCGTCTACGGCAAAACCGAAACTATCTGCTAGAGGGATGGCAACACTGGTATTCAGCTGCACGGCCGCGACGTGACGTCACTGTAGTGCTGCGATAAGCGGTACAACGTACGGAATTGGCCACAACTCCACTGCGATGTGCCGTCACGGAGTGCTGCGATCCTCGTCGTTCACTGCTCCTTGAGTGAAAGCTATCCTGCTGCTACCCAAGTGCTGATTGTTGGGCAAGTTGGTATGGTACGTTAGAAAACATGATTGCGCTTTGAAGACAGGGACATAGGAAGAACAGACACCACAGAGCGCTGCTACCCGCTAAAAATCAGCTTGTCGCATCTTTAAAAGGGTCATGAAACGATTTTTCTACTTCTTCCTCCTAAGCTTTAATCCTCAACTCAAATGCGCATTGTGAAATCACGTCGTCGTGACATTCTTCGGCACTGGCGCGATGACTCCTGTACCCTATTTTACCTTATGATGTACCGCAGGAAAGGCTACAAACGCGAACTCCTTGCTCTGGGGCAGATCTCGGCGGCACAAGCTCTCGTGCAATAAGGGCAGCAGCCAATGCTATGAGCTCGCGCTCCTAGCCTTCGCTGCGGTACAACATAAGGTGAAACAGAGTATAGCTTCCAGCGTGCTTTTTATGCACACCATAGAACTTTTCATTTCCCAGTGACGATAAGTTCCGTCAGGGCACTCATTGGCCACGAACGCGAATCCAAATATTCGTCGACGGATTGATTGTTGACGAGCGCATACGTCGGAGTGACGCAGTTCTCGTGTCCAATGCTTGAGCTGGGCTCGGCCGACGTCAGGGTGACACCGCTGACTCGCTTTGGGAACCGCGGATGTATCCTAGTGAAAAGGCGGAGAGCTTTCGAAAGAAAAGAAGGTGCAAAATAGACCGCTATCATTTCAAATGTTCGTACCGAAAAGCTGGCTTTTGACTTTCTACCCTTTTTCTTTTGGCCAACTAAAGGATATGTGATTAGTGAAGTCCCAACTTAAAATCATTCATCCCAGCCGAAAATTCGTTTCATGGCCCCTTTGAAATCAGTTTTATACTGTGTTTCAGCTTATAATGTACCGCAGGAAAGGCTACAAGCGCGAGCTCCTTGCGGAGGGCACATCTCCGCGGCACAAGCTCTCGTGTGTTAAGAGTAGCTCCCAACGCTATGAGCTCGCACTTCTAGCCTTGTCTGCGGTACAACATAAGGTGAAACGGAGTATAGTGGAGTACAAGGCTTCAATTTGACGTAATATTTAGGCTGTGATCATATTTCGTGCCACTAAAGCGACAGCAGTCATTTATTTTAGTTTAGTTCCCGGAGTTGCCTAAGTATTTATAAATAACCTGTCGAAGGGTGCAGAGCTGGGACCCATCGGCTGTGAGGGATATCAGGGGGACTATGTTGCACGTTTTGGACTCCCAGGAGACTAGGGAGAAGGAAGTGACGTAGGTGTGAATGAACGTATCTTAGCAGCACCACGCAACGCGTCATCAGCGACTCTACCAATCAACATCCAAAAAACGTTGTCGACGTCACTTCCTTCTCCCTAGTCTCCTGGGAGTCCAAAACGTGCAACATAGCCCCCTGGTTGGCTACTGTCAGGGCACACTTGGCGTACTCGTACTCCGTGGATGGAGTCACCGTGACGTCTGCCCTGGTGTCGACCGTGAAAGCCAGTTTCATTCTTTTTTGGCTTAACTCTTGCTCCTATTTGGTACGTCATATCTTCGAGCTGTGTTTGCTGTCTGTCTGTCTTTCTAGGTTTAGTCGGCCGTCCGCATTGACGTACCACTCTAACCTAGTGCCTTTGTCCTCAGGTTCCTGGCCAAGCGCTTGGAAACGAGCACTGAGGGAGGGGCGTTCGCCTTTTCCTCTAAGCAGATGTCGATCAACGAGAAGCTCATGGTCAGGGTGACGGGCGTGGACAGGACCTTCGCACGGTCTTTCACGTTCGGTCTGACCACCTGTGACCCGAGCGCACTCGAGGACGAAGCTCCACGGTTGCCAAACGATCACAGGGCGCTCCTAAACCGACCGGAGGTTTGGGTCTTCAAGGAGGACGTCGACAAAGACTGCGGCGTGGACGACGAGTTGGTCTTCGTGATAAGGGAAGGCGGTAAGCAATATATGATGCCGGCAATCTTTTTTTTTTTTGTTTCTTTATTTTCTTTTCTTTTTTTTTTAGAGTGGGGGGCGGGGAGGGGTGTTTGTAACAGGTGGTGATTTGAGACAAAGCTAGCAATGAATATACAAACTAGAGCACTCCATGGGCCGGAATTTTTAGGCCCGGCCCGACCCGACCCGGTAGAGGCACGGCCTGGGTCCGGCCCGGGTCCGGCCCAAACTCGATAGAATATTTAATTTCTAGGCCCCGCCCGACTGGGCCCGAGCCCGATAGTGTATTTAATTTCTAGGCCCGACCCGGCCCGGGAGAGACACGGTCCTGACACGGCCCGGGCCCGGCAGAATTTTTTGACAGAAGCTTGAGCCCGGCCTGAGCCCGACAAAATCTTTTTTTTAAATATAAGTCTGAGCCCAGTTCGAGCCCGACAGACTATATACATGAGCCTGAAAAGTTTGCAGGCTTTAACCTAAAATTGTGAAGCATAAAGCGAGCATCTTTGATTTATATCAATTTTCAACTTGGACCAAGTTTTTTTGACACGATAAATATTCCGACTTGGACGATGTAGTTTAAAAAATATGGGCGAAATATGCGCTTCATAAATGAAAAAAAAAAAAAAAAAAATCTAGGCAAAATTTTATCTATGCTTTTCTTGAAGAGATATTGAGACTCTTCTTTGCTCAATTCGTTTCAGAGAGAACGTTCCTCTCTACATGTTTCTGTGAAAAAGCAACCAGAACCACTCTAGTGTATCTTCAAAAGTCTGTATAAGGATACATTTATCTACATGGTAGTTCGTTTATCTTAGGTGGCCTATTAAGGACCCCTGCACAAAGTGCAATTTCTAATTAACTTTTTTTTTTTTTTTTTTTTTTTTGTCTGGTCTCCACAGTTCAAAAGGCATAGGAAAAAGAAACTCATGTTGCACCCTGTGACTGGAGTGCTCTCGCTTTCTTGACCGCACTTTCTATACTATACTGGCGGAATCCATACGTTTCCCTTTATCCACGGGAAAGAATTCCAAAAACAAAACGTCCGTCATTTTTTTTTTTTTTTTTTTTTGAACGGCGTCGTAGGTATTTTGCGTTTCGCTTGTTTGTTTTTGTTAAATCTAAAAGTTCAATGAGCACACTTTTTCTTACCACCAATTTGGAATTTACGGCACACGACTGCCCAGCCACGGCCCGAAAAATATTTTGTTTAAGCCCGAGCCCAGAACGGGCCTGAGAAAATGCCTGCTACCCGGCCCGAGCCCGGACCGCGGCCTCTCCGGGCTCAGGCCTTTGGGCTGGCCCGGATCCATGTAGTGCTCTAGTACAAAGTATACGCGTTGTAACATGTAAAAGGTACTTTTGAGCATTATTCATGCGCTGCACGAAGTAGTTCTTACAAGATTTGGTTGCCGCGGGAAAAAACGATGATTTTGGCGTTTGAAGCATCTACGCCTTGATGAAGTGTCGTAAAGCGAATGTAGGATAGTGTAGAAGAACTTGTAGTTGGGCTAGAGCCTTACACCATGATATCCAACATAGGATGCACCCTACATTTGTCCTAATTAATCGGATGAAAGGGGAAATTAATAACGTTCCACGAGAAGTCACTTATTTTTTTATTTTTTTTACTACGGTTTTTGAGGTTATAGAAGTATAGTGGTTTCTTTATTATCACGGCGATGCAAAAGACATGGAGCACAATGAAGAAAAAAGAGCTTGCCGGCCATCTGCCACATCACGAAATTACAGGAGAGCTCTAAATTTTAATTAATTTATTACGCCCCATTCTTGAGGCGTTAAACTATATATTCTAGGACAAAGTTTTGTGAAGTTTCTAGGTGCTGAATATTTTATTTCTCAAATATGCTCGCTTTGTTTTTGGTTTTTCAAAATATAATGAATCCGCAAGCTGAATTAAAAAATAACCGTGTCTTTTTTGTTTCTCTGTTTGGCAGGTAACGTGCAGTTTTCTCGCAACAATCGGGCCTTCCGAACTATTCTTCAAGTAGGCGACTCCCAACGGTTCTACGCGTTTTTTGATGTCTCGGGTCGCGTGACCAAGCTAACGTTTGTAGGTGAGTGGCAAAGGAGCTTCTTTCTCAATACAGGCTCTCAAAGTTTCTACGGGAGGGTTATATTACTGCTCATTAGTCAAGGGGCTCATACAGTCGTATCTACTATATTGGACGTTATTAGCTGTGGCACGCAAACTTGGGTTATTTTAACGAGGCTTGTTGTTGGGGCTAGTTGGTGAGTAATTCCCAGGAAAACCATCTTCGTGTTCATCTCTGTTTTGTGATCACACCTGTACCGAATTTTGCCCTGCCATTAGTAGTTACTCGTGGCATAACTTATCGCATTACGATAACCATCAAGTGATGAGAGGTTTGAGTTTCCATTTAAAAATAAATTCCCCTCTTCTATTGTCCGAGGAAAAATGTACTAAGCAACTCCAAAGTTAACTGAAATATTTCTACAAAAGGAAATGTTTCTATGTTTGTTCACCCGGAGATATAAATCCTCAGTGGCACCGATCTGTTTTTAATATTGTAGAAACTAACCGGGCACAAGAGACGCAAAGCGAAGCGTGTTCTAATAAAACCATTGATTGATTGATTGATTTCTTTAGCATCTATTGCTACATCACCAATGTCACTGCCGCCGGCCTACGGATCCCCATGTGGCGGGTTCAAATCCCGGCCGAGGTGCCCGCAATCTGACGGAGGCTTATTGCGGAGAAGGCGCCGTGTAACCGAGCTTTCGGTTGCACGTCAAAAGATCCCCAGGTGGTCGAAATTAATCCTCAGTCCTCCGCTGGGGCGTGCCAGATGCCCATCGTAGGTTTGGCACGTAAAACCCCCAAATTTGAACCAATGTCACTGCGGTATTAGTTTTTAAGAACACCTAAGAATGAATCACGAAGCAAGACGCGTGGAGATAACAACCCGTCGTTTCTTAAGCTCTCGGTGACCATAGTGACAGTGAGAACGCCTTTTTAAACACCAAGTTTATTGTTCGTACCTATATTGAGAACCTTTCTGCACACCCGGAATATAACCTTTTTTTTTTTTTTTTTCCTTAGGAACTCAGCTCGAGACACCCCGGCCAGTGGCAGGACTGGGCAGGACTCAAACGCAGTTGACAGGCCAGGCGCAACATGTGCGAGGTCAGTGCCTCGTTCGAAGTTTCAGACATGTACGTATACATTACCGAAATGGAGTAACTAAACACCGTTATCGGTACTCACTCAAAATAAGCACGTTACTCGTTACTACAATTCAAAAGGAACGCGTTACCTCAACTTGAAAGTAACGCATTATTTTCTCGTTACTCTGAACGTGTCGTTTTTTATGAAGCAGTGACCGCTTGCAACGGCCAGCCTGCAACAACCAGGCTGCGCCCGGAGAGTGGGAGCCCACTTATATAGCCTTTCTCGTTGTAACTTTGCAAAAGGTGAACAACAAGCCCCGCATTGCGTGCCGAAGGATTTGATATTAGCTGCGTATACGAGCGCAACGCGCACATATCGGAGCATGACACAGCGAAAAACCTGATACTTCCTCGCAGTAAAAACACGCTCCGGTGATACGTAGTCACTTTCCGATTGGCCCACCAGGGCAGTAGCTTCCGACGTACTCTCATGTTATGCGATCACGACTTCATGCATACCCAGTATTTCTTGCTTCAGACAGGCTAAGCGGCACAACCAGAGCAGTAGCTCAGGTTTGAACAATGAAGCCGCCATTCTCAGGCATGCCTAATGTTTCTTACTTCAGTCGCTAGATAGCGCCATACCAAAAAGCATTGCAGGTTGCCTATATCTTTGTCGTCTTTAATAATTTTTTGCTTTTCAACGCGTTCATTCAGGGATAACTGTACCTATACTGACATACGTTGTGAACATCTTTTTGATGGTTTAGCTAGCGTTTTTTCGTCGTGCAAATGACGGGCACGAGCCGGGGTGAGTATATTGTACTTCGTATCAGCTCGAATCCAGGCACGGCCTACGCTACGAGAAAATAAGGCGAATTAAGCAGCGCCAAAATCGCATGTCACTCGGCTTTTCTGGTCATGATTGATTCAGCGATGATAGAACACGTACAGAAACATCGCGAACACGATGGATGATGGCTCGCTTTTGACGCTGTCGGTTTGGTCCTTTCAGCTCATTCCGTCGGCTGCATCTGGGCCTAAAATGAAAATTAAGTATAGACCTTTCCATCGCCTATCACCCGGGCGAAAAATGCTGAGTCACTGAGCTGTGGACGTATGCGCAGCGTTTGATATACCACCCAGAAGGGCAACAGCACTTGCTCGGAAGCCGTTCCACAGCCCAGCAGACAAAAATGGCAGCGCACAGAAGGCGAATTTAGCGAAGGTCTACGCTTGGCTACTTGTGTCTTACACGTTTTCCTTCGGAAGTATCTAAATACCATTACTTGTTACTTCACCAATATGCGACAAAGATATGTTACTTGTTCTTTCCCTTAAAAAGTAACCAGGTTGTTATTTGGTTGCAGAAAAAGTAACTAGGTACATGTCTTCTAACGCGTTACGTACAATACTGCGAGGTAATCACCAGCTCCGCTTCTATCCACTATTTTGATGCTAAAAACTGTTTTTGGTTATCGGAAATCAATTGAAAACACTTCTTTATTTTTACTCCTTGATGCACCTGTGGTGCTGCCGTGGTTGGGAAGTTGAGTACGGGAACTCGGAAGGGGAGCTACCTCCGTTTTTATACGAAGGACCCTTCAGAGACGACAGTGCTGGAAGCGTTCGTGGTGTCTCGCGGCTTAGATTTATTGTGCCAGATGTCTTGAAGTTGGCTGCCAATTGTGGGAGCTAGATCACCTCGAACGGAAGCGGGGTCTTCCCGCCGCTTCTGTCCGCTTTCGAGCGCTCTTGCATGGACGGTGGGAGAGCGTGCGTCCTTGGAAAGTGCTCATGACGTAGACCACGAAACGGAGCCAGCCTCATTCATTCCTGGTTGTCAATCAATACCTATGCTGCTGTTGTCACGTTCTCCGTTCCGAGCTGCTCAAACGTACAAGCCTCTCGAAAACTAGAAAGGAGGCAAGGATGCTGGTGGAGTGAAACTTGATCTTCACCACCCCTGGGCGGTAGCCCAACAAGGCGACACAGCGATAGCGGGCGAGCGGATGGACAGACAGTCACATTGTCAGGCCGTGAGGGGCGTGAGTTTCGACGACTGACGAAGAGCTATATTACGATTGTTGGAGTGGAACGCTATCATGAAGTCATTTGCAGTTGTGGACAGCTGGCCCGCCCCGCGTCCCCACTAGAAACGTATACGCAAGCGCACTGCATGGGCGGATTAAAGAGGGGGGGGGGGGGGGGGGGTGAGGCGAGCGACCGCTCTCCCTGAAACCCCCAAGGTCAACTTCTTTAAGAAAAAAATTGATATACAGCAGACAAATTTTAATTTTTGGTGACAGCAAATACTGGATGAACAAAATAGATTTGGGCAAGGTTTCGGCCGTCATGTCAACTCTCTGTAGAACCCCCCCCAGCCTGGCCCATAAATCGGCCTCTGGAGTTGGAGTTCACGAGGACACCCATTTATGCCCATTTCTCACGCTATTACATTTACTGAAAATGTACTCTAGAAATGGAGACGATCTTATATTCACCGGGTGAATTAGGACATGAGTATATTTATCAAACTTCAGAACAGAAACTAGGACTTGCTAACGATGCTGCTGTCCGCTTTACAATGTTATTTTTATTGATTGAGCGAAGGCTGGCGCTATTCTATTTCTGATGAAAGACACCGTCGCTAAGCCAGTTTTAAATAAAAATCTGCGTAATATCCTATGTTCAGAGAGACTATGGGCGCAACTTGTACAGAAAATCATAGTTGTGGTATCCACCACAACAGTTTTAATTTACGCTTGCGGTCGCTTTGTTCACATTTATCGTTATGTAGGTTAAGACTTTTGTGACAGGCCATTCAGAGTGAAAGGCGTGTATAAACGAAGAAGCTTGAGACGCACGTTACCACAGGCGGGCAAAAGTAGCATTAGAAAACCTAATGAGCTTATTAACGTACTCTATATACACCCAGGTCGACAGCATCGCCTGTCTTGGGTGTTGTTTGGGCTGGCGGCAGTGGCGTAGCTAGGCCATCTGGTACCTGGGGCCCCTATGTCTTGGTAGCCCCCCCCCCCCCCCCTTTCCACTCCCCAAGATCGCAACAAACAAATAAAGGGGGGAAGGGGGGGGTACCGGGTTCGCCTGGTACCCGTAGCCCAAGAACCCCCCCCCCCCCCTTTATGTCACACCACTGGGTGGCGGGGAAGCAGAAGTTCGGTGACCGCTGGAATCAAAACGAAATCTCGAAATCAGCCCTCAACAATGAATTCTGTGTTAGATGCGCAGGTTCTTATAGTTCTGTTTCAGAACGAAATCGTTACGCTTGTTGTGCTTACTTTTTCGTATGTTATGACAGATCGGTTCCTTCCGTTCGTAGTGTGAACATAGCGTAAGAACAAAAGAACATTACTTAGAAAAAAAATTAGTATGGGTGCGCGGCGGTTTTTCTGCAGTTGAGGTAGCGTAACTTGCGTCGAGAAAAGCCGCACGCTCCGGCGTTCCCGCTCTTACTTTTTGCGATAGTCCATTTATGAACATAAACTGGTGCGTTGTACAAGAGCTTTGATTGCAGTGCGAAACTTTGAAACGTAGTTGCATTGCCTTGCAATGGCATATTAACAAAGTCCTAAAAAAATGCAAAGTTTCTAACACGTACAAGAGGTGTGACTTACGATACTAACCAAGTTCTAATGATGCACGCAGATGCTTGATCTTTGCGAAAATGAATTAAGCATAAAATACCACCAACACCAGGGCATAATGTTTCCGTTCGCAATTCTGTATCTGTAGATTGCACTGGTGTTCAGCGGTCCATGCTGGTGCTCCTAAAAACACATTTATAAATATCATTTATGAAACAGTGCACCCATAAACACACTGCGTGACATTGTTTTAACAGGGAACGCGCTTTCGACTAGGTCTTCCCAGCCGCTGTCCGTTCACGAAGTGCATGGCGAAAATGTGCTGCTGGAGAGGAACAACAAGGCTGCTTCTCGCGTCAAGGGATATTGCAAGGGCATCGTGTTCAGCTCCCGTCCTGTCCAAGTCAACGAGAAAATAAGACTGCGGATTGGAAAAGTTTTTTCCGGATGGAGTGGACTTCTTCGGTGAGGCAGGATTTGCGCTATACGCCCTTACTTTGCTTTAAAAGGAGAGTTCCACCGCGCGCAGGCATCACATCCTAGAACCAATCAAAGCCAGTCAACAGCCTTCTTCACCTCCATGGAATGTCATCTCACTCGGACGGCGCCAGCTCAGCGATTGGGCCTGAGCCCGACGCTGAGCGGCTGCATTGGCAGAACACGAGGTTCTGTCGAACGCTGACACAGCGTCCGTGTCCTATCTGTGTCTGCGATTGATCTCATTGTGATGACGTCAAAATTCTAGTCCACAGGCCTTGATTATTCTCGGTGGTGTTGCCGCGGGAGACTACACAATTCTTATTACGAAATCAGTGCGTATGAAGCGACCCTCCCTGAGCACGTCAATAAGATATATTCCCAACCACTCACTTCCTGGGAAGATCATGAATCTTAAGAGTGACGCACTCACGCCACCACCAGCAGCGAATCGCAAACAAGTTGAAACAAGAAATTACTTCCAAATGAGTAACCGAGAAAACTTCTTTACGTCGCACGACGAAACAGACCGTGGGCCATTCTGCATCCAACTCTCCGTCCCATTCTGCATCGCTTTGTCCGCCGCCCAATGTTTTTAAACTACAGATAGATTAATGTGTGCTAGTGATTGGTAAACGTTCTGTATCGATACACCTGTATCTAGCATCTAGCATTTTATTAATAGGAGCCAGCTTACGTCATCTATTATAGAACACTTACACTCCTTCTAAATAGTTCCAGTTTATTATCTCGTTCATCATTTTAGTTTTGTTTGCATAATTTTACGTTTCCATTAACCTTTTCTGTTAAATGTTTTACTTTATTTTTGTGACCTCACTATTTGATCACCGATTATTTCATTACCGTCAAAGCATCCTGGTGCTTCCACAAAAACTGCTTCCCCTCA